TCGTAAATGGCTGCACAGTCCGCCTGCCGACGCTTTACTGCGCTGTGTGGCCTGGTACGGGGGCACACACCTGCAATCCCAGCACTTGGCTGGCAGGACTAGAAGTAGGGAGACTGCCCGAGTTCAAGTTCTGGCTAAGCCTTGGGGGCAGTAGCTGAACCTCACTGTGCGGCAGCTGCTTCATCTGTAAAGGGAGACAATACCTGTAACCCTAAAGCTCCTACAAAGTAAACAGCACACATTTCTATAGCATTGATTAGGGGAAATTCACCTACCGACACTTTCATTCTTACTATGTAGGTTGAATGGAAAAGGAGGAAGAAGCAAATTTAAAAACTCAAAGGATAGAGAGATTCCTCTACTGAAAATTACTCTTATCCCACTTTTTTTTAAGTTTAGTTTTTTTTTTATCAATATCATTCAATCAGTAAACAAAACTAATGAAGTGGGCCTACCATCCAAATTTCTGAATTAGTCAATGTCTGACTGACAACAATGATGAGTTAATGGAAAAACATTGAAGTAACAATTCCACTGTGGCAACAGACCACAGCCAATCTTCTGGATAAACCACTGAATACCAGTAATTCAATGTAATGGATTTCTCATCTATTTGAAAATCTCAGCATGCAGTAATCGGTCCACCCACCACCCCTCTGTTCCCACCAACATGCTGTGAGTGTAGAGAGGATGCCATCGGTGTCCGAAATCACCTTCAGTGTACACTATTACTAACTACCAGCTCCTCTTCGCTTTAACACCTACGTGACCCTGGAGCTTCTTTTTGCCTCACCCTTATTCTCCCGAGAGTTCACAAGCTTCTACCCACACATAAAAGACTAAAACTACACGACCTTTAGACTTCTACATATAAGCTCAGTGCCTTCCACAGGTCAAAAACACTCCACTCCACTATAAGGTCAATACAATTTCATGATCTGAACCCAATTCATAAACCCAATTTGATAAACACTACACGAAGCATCTCTGGCAGCTCTAAAATGCCAATAAAGTCCAAGCTTCCTGTGATCTGGCTTCACTTTCATTGTCATTCAGATTAGTTTTTCTCAATGCCTAGTAAAATAGCATCACCATCCATATTTACCAACTGCCCATTAAATGCCAGGCAGTATTCTAAGACAGCTTTTGAGATCAACTCATTAAGCTTCATAGCAATCTTATATGGTAGGCAGTACTATCTGTAGTTTACACAAGGAAAATACCTTGCCCAAACTAACAAGCAGATGAGTCAGTATGAAACCTACATCTTATGTCCTAACCTACATTATTTTTTACTGGAGCCTATTTCAGTCAGTATATATGGCAAACAAGGTGTGCGGTCTCATGGAACTCACATTTTTGTAACTGAGCAGAATGAAGAAACAAACAAAAGGGAGCAGAAACTCTATAGACTACTTTAAAAGACCAGGAAGAAAATGGTGTTTTATGAGAGAAAGACAGACAGGTAGATGACGAACAAAGCCCTCCCTGAAAAAAGATGCCTTTCAAGATGAGATCTCAAAGATGAGAAAGGGCCACACCACCTCTGCAACAAGAGGTGTACCAGAAGGCTCCTGTGTTTACTAGGTTATAAAAAACGGTCCAAATATGGCATTAGGTTGATCTTCATTCTAAAACTGAAGTTCTCCTACCAAATCTCTATTATTTGATAGCGTCCTCATTAGTTAGTTGTCTTTGGCCAAGTTGCCACAGATAGAATTATCTGAGAAGAGGAACTTCAACTGAGAAAATGGCTCTATCTGTTTGTTTGTCATCAAGCATCTTCTGAACTAACGAGTGATGTGTGAGGGCCCAGCCCACTGTGGGTGGTGCTATCACTAGGAAGGTGGTCTTGGGCTGTCTAAGAAAGCAGACTGAGCAAGTCATGGGACCTGCAGATTGCTGCCCTACTTCTGGCTCTGACTTACCTGCATGATCAACTGTAAGCTGTAAAGGTAAAACAAGCCCTTTCCTTCCAAAAGTTGCTTTTGATCGGTGTCTTTATCATGACAACAGAAAGTAAACTAAAACAGATAGGTTACAGGATAGTATAATTAGAATCCTTACAAGGAAGGAGACACCAAATACATTCAGATTCATTCTCATTCTCTCTTGTTCTATCCTCTGTACCCCCACCCACTCCCAAAATGCACAAAACAAGGAACTGAACTCATATAAAAATGTTAACTATGCGCTAATGAAAATATTTAGTGTAGAACTCCAAAAACAACTAAGAATGTGTCTTTGGGTTTTGTTTCATTGTGTATCCCTAGCTAGTCTGGAGCTTGCTATGTGGACCTGGCTGGGTTAGAATGCTCAGACATTCCCCTGCTTCTACCTCCCCTAAGTTCTGAGATTAAAGGTGTGTGTCTGACTGTAGGTATCTGTACACATGCACACAGGTACCCACAGAGGGTAGGAGGAGGCATCAGACCACTTGGAAATGTAGCAACAGTAGCTGTGAGCTAGCTGGTATGTGTCTGGAAGACTGAAGAGCAGTAAGAACTCTTAACTACTGAGCCGTAGCCCTAGCCTATGATTGCTCTTTTTAAGTTTTTATATCACCAAAGACATTTCTAACCTAAAACTGAAAGTAGTAAATATGTATTGAGCCTATGTGTAAAAAACAGTTCTAAATAATTTAAAATGTGCAAATAAACCAGGCATCAATCCTAGGCCTAAGAACCACAACAAAAGATAAAATTCCCTACCTCATAAACTAAGGTGCCATCTATTAATAGGAGGCATTTAATATACCACTAAGATAGAAATGATAGCTAGTAAATTACGACAACAGTTCAAACAGGTCCTAATTCTAGAATTATTAAAATGTAAGAAAATGTACATCTTTGTTTGTTTGTTTGGACAGGGTCTTAACTATGCAGCCTAGATGAACCTGCAACTCAATGTGTAGATCAAGTTATCTCAAACTGCTGATCCTCTTGCCTCAGCCTTCTAAGTGCTAAAATTCTAAGTTTATACCACCACATTTGGCTTGGAAGAAATACATTTTAAATAGTTAAAAAAGATTATGAAAAGAAATCAATGCAAATACTGCAGTCACATGGAAGAGTGCACAGAATAGATCACATATAACCCGGTTATAAGAAGTGCTTTATGTAAAGGGTCACATTGAAGTTAGTTTGAAGGCTAAGCAGAAATCAGAAAAGTGGATGCTGAGAGGACTACTTCGTAAAGAGAAATTATAAGAAAAAAAATAGCAATAAAATAAGAGATTGGTAGAGAGAAACATTTTCAGAAAGACAGCCAAAGCAGTGAGGGTTAGGAGAAGCTTTAAATGAAATTGACACAGGAACTGGAGGAATGGTCCTCAAACTGGTTTTTTCAACACAATTAAGCCTTAGAGTCATAATGCACATAAATGATATGGCTCTAACAATGATTCTCAACTGAGAGAGACATAGTGGGAAAAGAGATTAACTTTATTGGGAGTAAGGCCTGCAAACACCCTCTAAAAATGCTGCGTTCCTTCCACTATACTTTAAGAATCATCGCAGTAGGAAAACAAAAGTTTGAGTCACCAGTTGAATTACATTTCAGGAAAGGCAATGGAATTAAAACTGGGAAAATGAAGGGCAGGAATGAAGGCACAGGTAATGCTCAAACAGGGACAGTGCTTCTAAAATGTCAGTGGGTGGCTCCCGCGACAGCCAGCTGGTATCCGCTGTCACAAAGGATGACAAAGTTTCAGTCTGCACAGAAAGAGACATGACTACCACTCAAGTAGTAAAGCCATAACTCAGATGAAGGTTCCAACAGGACTTGAAAAAAAAGGTACCACAAAGGCAAATCCTCTGGAAGTGAAGTAATCTTATACGGACCCACCTTATCACCAGCGTTAATGCAGCGACACTGTAACCCACACTGTTTAGCATCACAAGCATGAAAACAGGAGCACTCATCTATTTTCAAAGCTACCTGCTGTATGTAAAAATCAAGTCTACAACTTCGAAAGAAGAGACTGAGAACAGCTTAGAAGGGACAATCAGAAGGATACTTAGTGTTTCAATTAGTCAAACATCACAGTCATACAGTTTGAAGGAAGAATAATCACAGCTATATCATATTACCAAAGTATCTCACTTTAAAAAGGGTTTAATAATAATCTAAAATCAATTTCTTAATTATGCACTTTCCCCAAGTATTTTAAAGCCAATAAGCAATGTGATCCTATATGTGAAAATGTGACTTTTCCTGGTTATTAACATAAATTAATGTGTACAAGAACGAGTTTCATTATGACATTTTCACAACAGTACTTCATGTACTGTACCTATCACACGCTCCCTCGTTGCCCCCACACCTCCCTTCCGCTAGTTCCCTTCTTCCAAAATAATCACCCTGCTGAAAGGAGATTTCAAGTCACATATGAAGAAAATGTCCTGTTTCCTGGTGCTGTAAATATACCAACCAAATTAACAAGATTCTATTCATTCTGACTATCTTCTGACAAAGTTCCTTTGAGAGTGAGGGTTTGAGAAAAGTGGAGAGAAGGGACGGATAAGAGAAATGAATAAAGTACATAGAGAGACAAGAGAAGGATCGGAAGTGACCCAGCAGAATCTGCTGCAGCATAAACTTGAAGATCAATCTGATGGCCCAGAACACGGACGGTCACTGAGCAACACCTGGCTTTTTCTTTCTGAAAGCTAGGCATGACAGTGATGCCGAAAAAAATCATACAGGCTAAAATCTGGATGTGTGTGGAAGTCACCGGACTCTGAGAGGGAAGAAACAGGCTACCTGTTAGGTAAAACAAAGAATACACAATCTGCAACCTGGGAAAGGATCCGGCAAAGTAAAGCAGACATTCGTGCAGCCATTAGCAGCCTGGGGAAAACACCTGTGCTGATCACTGCTGCAGTTGCATACGCAAATTCAAAGGAAAAACCAAAACAGTCAAGACCTTTTCCAAAGCCATGGGTCCCACACTGTAAGGTCAAATGTACACACAAACAGTTTTAAAGAAATGTGAATACCTCAGTCTGACCTTCATGTGCGCTGGTCTCGTGAGTAACTCGAATAGCCTGGAATAAGAACATAAACGGTTTCCAAAAAAGAACAATCATACCCAACTTTTAAATGAAAACAGCTAAGTTTTACCATGTAAAATCCTGTAATGAGGCAGAAACTGGAAGAATTTAGGAGTTTAGCACTGAACCTTTCCAAAGTGTAGCTAGGTAAGCAAACGAGCCTCTGTCCCCTCTCCTCACAAATTGCTTACGCTTTAGGAAACCGACTAGGTGACAGCTTCTAATTTGCACAGTGCAAGTAGAGGCTCATTTAGCTTCCTTAACTGTTAGAGGCCACACTTAACACTTTATTCCCTTGAGACTGGAATAAAGTGAGCAGCTCACAGACAGAAGCTGAAGAAGCTCACCTCATCTCGTCCCTCCAGGGTGCATGCTCCTGCAGCTCTGGCTTACTTTATGTTTAGTCATGCATTTCAGTAGGCAACTTAGAAACGTGGTGCAAAAGGCATGCGATTATGAGAGAGAAGCTAGAGAATTCAGTTATCTGCACTTCAAAATGCTCCAGTCATACCCGTCATTATCAAAGATGGAGAAAAATGCGCACAACAGAAAATCAGGGGTGAAAGTGGTACTGTTATTTATAGCAATTTGGTGGTTAAGTATTAAAGCCTTAAAGACATGCAAACTGATCAGCAATTTCTCCTCTAGGAGTTACTATGTTGATATATTTAATGTATGTGATTATATGAAATTAAAGATGGTTCTAAAACCTCGGGCACAGAAATATAAGTTATAATCATTTTACATAGTGAAAAAAGAGGGAAGACAGATTTCTAACATTTTACTGGTTAAATATAATATACAACAGAAAGCTACTCAGCCATTAGAAAAATGTTAAATATATACTTACTGATGTTAATACGTTTGTGATAAATGAAAAAAGCAAGTTATAAAACAGTATTACAGTGTGATCAAATTTTAAAAAATATTGTGTATATACATACATGTTCCCTATAAAAATATCAATGGTAGCTACCTTTCACTGGTGGAATTATTGGCAACTGTCATGTTATCTTACTTTTAAGAAAAATAAAGATTTCTTATGAAATTTCCAAGTTTGTAAAACTTAAAGCAACTAAAGTATTTCATAACACTAAACACTATTAATACATGTAATACTTTGTTTTTCTAATTTCAAAGAACACCATCTATTGATATTACTAAAAGGCAAAAAGTCTTCTGAAAAATAATTTCAAAACTCAAATGTTTAGAACAATCATTGCAAAATGGATTAGAGAGTGCAGCTATTAATTTGCAAACTATTTGTTCATTCTACCCTGGACACAGAACAACATTATAGATATTTCATGTACAGTTACCTGAAAAAGCAAAGCCCTTGCAAAGGATCTGACAAATGATGTTTTCCCAAACTACAGTTTCAAGACAAACCACTAAACAGAGCCCACAACCCTGTAACACAGCCCATGGATGAGGCCAAGACAGAAACAAGGTACTGACGTCATAGTTCTCCAGGTACTTGGCTCTTTCTTCAGGGCTCATTGACACGGACTCCTCCAGGAACTTTTTCAATGTTGACCCAGATTCTGAAAATGTCAAAAATGGTTAAAAATTTAACTTTATTACAGAAAAAAATAACAAAAGCAGTACAGCATTTTCTTAGGTAAAAGTCCTTTAACTGATAAGAATCTAAGACTCCTGGGATAAATAAGTCAAATGTTTTTTGCTGAGCCTGTTCATCAGCAATATGGAAAAATGGGAAGGATTAACGTCTCTCCTGGCTCCACATACATCCCCTAACAAAAGAAGAGACGCACGGCTTTACAGTTGGAGAGTTAGAGCACCCCCTCCTGTTCAATAAGTTAACACAGCTGGGGAAAAACTGGAACAGAGACGGACTTACCAAAGTGCATCTTGTCTTTGTTGTTCGCAATGGCGTGAATTAGTCCAATTGTCCCACAGGCATTGCTGATGGTCTGCTTAATGAAATATACTGATGACGTAACATCTTGTCCTTGAGATTTTATTTTTTCTTCCTCTTCTGTCCTGAACACCTCATACTATTGGGAAAAAAAGTCAACAGTCCACATGCAAAATAACCCATACACTAAAAAGAGCACTCAAGTCTGTACAGGAAAGGTTATGAAATGAGGAGACTTAGATTAAAATCTGACAGGACTTAGAGTAAGATCACCACATTATCAACATTGCCTGACAAAAGACTGACAATAGTAGCTGTGTCGGTAAAGCAATGAGAAAATGGACAGCCTGGCATTATTTATTTTACTCATTGCTTGCTTTCAGACAAGGGTTTCCCTGTGTGGCCCAGGTTGGTCTGGAGCTTTATATGCCATTGTTAAAAGTAGTCATTGTCACCACCACAGTAGGAGGCACAGAGCCATCTGTGTTAACACTTTCAATGTTCACAACGCCTAACAAACGACTACGTTTGTAATAGCTTGGTTTAAAATACAATCTTAAAGTGTACAATAGCGATGGGAGTGTAATTCCACAGCAGTGCTGGCCTGGCACGTATGAAGCCCTATGTTCAGTTCCCAGCAACACAGACACAGACACGCACACTGAATAAAACAAAAAGACTACATTTTATGTTAAAAACTGAGTGAGAAGCAGAAAGAGGAGTGCTTCTGTTAACTGAGCTTCTATAATTCGGAGAGCCAAGAGAGTAGAGGTAAGCAAACTTCAGGACACACCACAAAACCTGCCCTCCCGTTTTCATTAAATAAAAATTGATTAATGTACTGATATGGCTGTTCGTCCAGAAGTGAGAAGTGAGAGACTGTGATGCCTACAGTAAAGGCAAAAATGTTATCATTTGGTCTTTTACAGGAGTTCTTTACAGCATCTTTTCTGATCTGCATACCAATAGTATCTACAGAAAATCCAGAGTTTAAAAAGTGATTTTAGGGCCTGGAGAGATGGCTCAGAAGCTGAGAGCACTTCCTGCTCTTCCAGAGTTCTGGGTTTGATTCGCAGAGCCTACATGGTGGCTCACCAGTGGTTGGAACGCCAGTTCCAGCAGTTCCAGCGCCCTCTTCTGGCTCATTAACACTGCATAAGCAGGCATTCATGCAAAACACTTATACACATAAAATCAAAATAAACCTAAAAACAATAGATAAGCACTTCTAAGAACAAATGCATCTATGCTTAAAAATAATTTTAAGGCTGAGCAGTGATGGCGCACGCCTCTAATCCCAGCACTTGAGAGGCGGAGGCAGGCAGATCTCTGTGAGTTTGAGGACAGCCTGGTCTACAGAGCGAGTTCCAGGGCAGCTAGGGCTGTTACACAGAGGAACCCTGTCTTGAAAACAAAAATTGAAGAATATTCATGCAAACGCTATTAAATGCTACATTAAACTAAAGCTGAGGCAATCGAACCATTATCTCCTAAGAGAAAAAAGCTGAAGGTAAAAGACCAACACAGGGCTTCATTGTCAATCTATAATCTAAATCTTTTATTTTTAATATGACAGTAAGATTCCCTTGCTTCTTAGTTTGCTGACTATGTGCAACAACGTCATTATCTATTTCAAAGACTAGTTTTCCTCAGTATCAAACTCCGCATTGGTCAGAAGCTACGCGGCTCACTCTAGTTACCTTTTCTGTAATAGGGAAAAGGAGTAACACTGCGCACACCGGTCGTGGTACCATGCTCAGAAGTTCCGGCTCCATTCCGTACACATCAACAAACTGCCAGTTAGGGTGCAAGCCTAACTGTTTGAGAAACTAGCAAAAGAAAAAGCAGCAAAAGTTAAGTGGCAAAGGAAAACCTGTGGAATATTAACAGGAGAGCGATCCACAAGTGTGTGCACCACATATCTAGTATTCAGAAAGGACTGAGATCAAGCATTACTGATGTTCAGTAAGAATGAGAAGGCAGCACTATCAACCCACAGGATACACACAATACATACATATAATCCTTATCTGTCAAGTGTACCACAGTCTGAGAGGGGAAAAGACGACACAGCAAAGCAAGTCTACAATGAACAGGGTATTACAAGAGCAATTTGTATCACATAACAGTTAAAAATCATAACATACTCAACAAATCTGTTCTCAAAATCTATTACTTTGGCATTTAATATGTTAGCCAGGACTTTACATAATACATACAAGTCACCTTAAAAACTTACTTCCAGCCTTTACTGCATCAATTAAACACTGAATTATTTTAATACATCAACAGTTTATCCTGACATCCAAAAGTAACTCCTGGAGTTTAAAGAGAGATAGCTAAGCATTTTATCAACAAGCAAAAAGCAACATGGTGCACAGACATGCATGCATGCAAGCACTTATAAAATAAATAAACAGATAAATAATAACTGCAGGTAAGGCTCTCTTGGGAAGTGAATGGCATGTATCACATTCACCTCTCCACCACGTTGCGTGGTCTGGAACTACAGAAAACAAGTCTCTCCACTATGCCCATTCTTCACATTACTAACCATGTCAGGATTTAGTAAAGCTCACAGGCATAGTTGAGAATATCTCCCTTTCTCTTCTTCATTTCTTCCAAATGAACTGTTCTAGGTCAGTCTTAATATTCAATTCTACTTACAAACAGAAAAAAAAAGAAGAAAAAAATTTTTTAAGAAAAAGGCTCAGCATTAAGGGAAGAAATTCTCATCTTTTTTCCCATTGCTAACTAAGGGCTGTACGTGGCCAAACCAAGTACTGCTTGGATGGAAACGAATACACTTTATTAGATAACCTTGGCATCTATATGTCTGCAAGTGGCTTAACTTGCATACTCCTTTTCCTGCCAGTTAAAGAAAATTGGACACTGAGCTCCTTATCTGCACTCTTACTTTCATCAACTCACATACTACCCTGACAGGACTGACATCTCCAAAGCAGGCAAGCATGGAGAGCTCAGCAAACCGGGGACTCCACTCAGGGCGGGCTATCCCCTCCCTCCTGAGATGACAAACTTGGCAGCATGAGACCCTTACTGTGTGCACTGTACATATACCCCTTTCTCTGAACAATGTACCTAACAACTGTTAGCATGCACAGCTCACATAAAGAATGGAAAGGCCAATCCAGTCTGAACTGGTTTGGGGTACACATGCAGTAAAGCAAACTGTGTCACTGAAAGTATTTTATGTGAAAAAAGAGATTTACTTCACTACAGGCTCAATATGCACTAAGTTCAAATTACCAAAAGGAGACACAATGCTGGTCTCAGAAGCATCATCATTCTAGCAACAGCCCACCATACCAACAAAGATGATACAGCTTATGAACAGCATTCTAACAGCAAGAGGAGGACCCCAGAGACAAGGACCAGAGACAGTAAGATTCAGAGAAACATCAACGTAGAGGATATGGTGTGACAGTTCCAGTAAGAATGCTCCACACCGGCTCACGTGTCTCGACACTGGGTCCTCGGCTGGCAGTGACTTTGGGGAGATTCTGGAGTGCAGTCCAAATGCACCACAGGAAGTGGGCTTTGAGTGTTTCCACTCTCGCCCTACGTGTTTGTGCTCTATGGTTTAAGATGTGAGCTCTCAGCCACCATGCTGCTATTTGCAGCTGACGTTCCCCAAAAGGACTCGTCTCTCTGGAACTGTAACTTGTCTTTAGTTGTCTTGGTGATGCCATTTTATCATAGCAACAGAAAGGTAACTAATACATATGGGCATGTTCAGATAGGACTTAAATTATCGAACCTTGGCCTCAGTTTTAGTATTACCAAGGAAGAACAATTAGATTTGTTCTAGATGCTTTAAATGGAAGGAGTGATGAATAATTAAAAGTTATAAGACAGCAAAATTTGTTCCAGTAAGAATAAGTGTCACTTTACTAATTAAATGCTATTCTCATTGCTATAATAAAATTAAAGTGCTTTAGAAGACGGGATTTTGTTCACTGACATTCGGGGAAAGGATGCATTTCCACATTAAATTCTGAGGGAACTGTCCCAGAGCAGGTAAGTGAGTGACTCTATAGGCTCTGCTCATTACTTGATGACATGTACTGGAAGCTTCCTGAAGGCTACAAAACACTCATGGCACTTCCAACAGCTCTCTACTCTCAAAGGACTTAGGTTTTAGTGGCAAAGAAAATATACATATAGCTGGGCATGGTGTTACAAACCTTCAATCCTGGCACTCAGGAGGCACAAGCAGGAGGATCTCCGAGTTCAAGGCCTGCCTGGTCTACATAACGAGTGCCAGACCAGCTAGAACTACACAGAGAGACTCTGTTTCAAAAACAAACAGCACAAAAAAAAAAGAAAAGAAAAGAAACAAACAAGATAATTTCACACAAAGTAGCAAAAAATTTAAGTAAATTAGCTGGAATGGTAGCTCATGCTTACAATCTTAACTGAAGCAAGAAGACTGAGTTCAAAGCCAGCCTCAGCTACATCACAAAACCATATGGAAAAAGAAAAATAGGAACAAGAAAAGAGTAGAGGTGGGGAAGGAGGAGGAAAGAAAACAAGAATGCCACCAAAGGAAAAAAAAAAACTGGTACATCTTGAAATTGAGCCATAAATGACAAAAAAAAAAAAAAAGCTGCCATGAAATATCTCAAGTCAAACAACTCAAGGGAAGGATAAAACAAGTGAACACTCAGAAGTAGGAAGAGACTGGGCATTTAAAACTGCAGCACAGCCTGCGCAGACACAAGTGGGCCCTCCTTTTATCTGGCCTCAGTGAGGCACTTAATTGTATTCTAAAAACAAGCAGTGAAGGTCATTAGTGTCTGAAGCAAAAAATTACCAGTGTGCACTCTTCTAAGACCAACCAGAAGTGGAGATGACAGCACACAAAGGATTGTAGGGCAGAAAAATGAGCCCAGGTAGTTAGATGTCCACAGCAGCTGGCAAAGTCAAGGATGGCAGCCTGCACTGGTTAAAAGACCCCAAGCCATGGTCTTGGAGTGCATTCACTGTAGAAGACATGCTAACTGAAGAAAGCAAAGCTATACGGAAACCCAATCTAGAAAGTCCTCATCTTAAATATACCAACCAAGTTGCCAACCACGGTTAACCTCACAGAGAAATTCCTGGGAGGAACGCCACAGAAGGTAGAAGGGAGGTGTCCTAAGAAGTAACGGGAATTAGAAAACCCAGAATTATTAGAAAGTAAAAATGAAAGCATGGTGTTTCAAGAAGGATGGAACGGGTTGTGCTTCCAATGCCACTAGAAGGCCCAGAGACACAATGACAAAAAGGCAGTCCATGGGTACGTCAGAAGCATGATCACCAGTAAACTGCAATAGCAGTTACTTCATGTGGTGGTTTGAAAGAAAATGGCCTCTAAAGGGAGTGGCACTATTAGGAGGTGTGGTCTTGTAGGCACTGTGTCACTGTGGAGGCAGGCTTTGGGGTCTCATATATGCTCAAGCCATGCGGAGTGAGACACCTTACTTCCTGTTGCCTTTGGATCAAGATGAAGGGCTCTCAGCTCCAGCCAGGCCTGCATGCTGCCCTGCTTCCCACCACAGTGAGAAGGGACTAAGCCTCTGAGTGTGAGCGGTCACCCCAATCAGACAAAAAACAAACAAAACAAAACAGAAAAACAGGAATATTTTAAGCACCAAAGCATAACTAGTTCCAGACAACTGGTGATGCAAAGGTAACCTCAAAATACTAAGTAAATGCATTTTGTAATTCATCAAAGTCATCTAGGAATGAGGTACTACATCAGCTGAGTCATATAGACTTTAAGAGTCCAGTTATATAAACTTATTTACTGATTGCTTAAAACAACAAACATCATCACTTTAGAGTCTTTTTAATCACGTGATAAGGCTAATTACACTGATTTTGAATGGTAATCATTCTAACATAAGGAAAAGCTGCTCTTGGTTATGTTCTTATGTTTTTATAATCTATTTTTGAAGGCTTTTGTAGTCACCTTCACAAGAAATACAAGCCTGCAAATTTTCTTATGGTTTGCCCAGTGTGGCCTTATGTCTGCTCCTTTATTTTTATATAAAATTTGTATTACCTTTTTACATGGTCATCTCAATAGATGCTAAAAAAAAAAATCACACAGGGAAAATTGAACATTAATTCCTAATAAAAATCTTTACCAATTTGGAAAGGTGGGAACTTCTTTAGCCTCTACGAAATACCTACAGCTGCCACCGTTTAGAATGAAAGAGTACACGCTTCCTCGAGTAAAATAGGAAAGAGGACACCTCAGACTCAAATGTAAGATACTTCCAAGTGCAATTCGACAAGAAAAAGAAATAGAGGCGTTCAGAATGGGAGTAAGCATCTGACTGAAGAACACAACCGTCTTCGTAGACAGAGGAGCCTCAGAGAGACTGCAAACAGGGAGAGACTCACTGCATCTAACACATGGGCTTAGCAAGGTAAAGGCTGTTTTATTAGATTTCTATACATCGCAAAGAACTCAAAAATTAAAATTTCAAGCAATACCATTTACAAGAGCACCCCAGAACCATCAAATGCGTAGGCACCTAACAAGATTTTCCAAGAGCTATGTGATGTGCTCAAACAATGAAACACTGATGAACTAAACCAAAGGCCTAAGTGAGATACACACCTCCTTCAGGGACTACAAGATCCCATGCAATAAAGATACAATCCTCAAAACACAACTATCCACATGGCGCGTTCACCATCAACTTCCATAGAAACTGACAAGGATTCAAAGATTTATCTGACAGGTAAAGTAATTAGAAGAGCCTAAACAATTGTGAAAGGTACAATGTTGGATTCATACTATTTGAGCACTTAGCAAGTCACAATAATTAGGATAACAGTGGCAAAGAGAGAGACCAATGAAACAAAAGATATTTACTTATCATTAAAGTATAAAAATAACTGGATTACAGCTGGAAAAAACTTCTTTCTATGTACAGAAAGTCACAAATTCCGATTTCTTCAGACTTGCGCTTTTTCTCTTGACCAAGAAAATAAAATGTGTTAGGAAAAGAGATGGGCAAATTTCAAAGAGGTGAGAACAAATAAAGCTGACATTCCCGGGAAAAGGTACTGAGCACAACAAAATAAACGGTAAGTGCAGGGTTTTAAACTCTGCATAGCCACCTCACAAAGGAGGTAAGAACCGAGACAGTAACAGAAACATACAATAAACTCAAGTAACATAAAAGGACTTGAGCCAGTGAGTAAAGGCTCTTGCCACCATCAAGCATGAGGACTTGTGTTTAATCCCAAGGAGTCACCGGGGAAAGAGAGAACCGAGTCTAGAATGCTGACCTCTGACTCTCCACGGGCAGGTCATCCGTCCACATACAAAATAAATGAATGTAATAAAAAATGTTTTGAAAAAGACAAAGGATGTCACCTCTACCCAAAAAAAAATCTGCGTGCTTTATATAAGGGACTTGCTAGAAAGCTTTGAAAAAAAAGAAAAACCATTAAAACACAAAACAAACCCAGTAACTGTAGGGTGGAGAGCAGGCTTGAGACACAGTCTCAGTCTGGGCTAGAACTCAAAATCCTCCTACCTCAGCCCTCCACACGTTGATATTACATGCATGTGCCACGATGTTTGGCCTCAAAATATTTTTTTTAAAGTAAATGATGTATCTTTATCCTTTGGTGATTAGAAAGATGGAAGGAAAGAAGGAAAATTACATAACAAACCGACAGCGTGGTCAAAGGTGAACTAAACGTTGAAAGCAGGAAAAAAAAAGTCTTAAGACAATACATACCTGTGCAAATAATAAAAAAAAACTTATAACAGCTTTTTTTTTTTTCGAATTCGGGAACTGAAAGGCATCCCCAACTTGCCATCCACAGTCCCAATCTTCAGTATCCAAACCAAACTTTTAAGAGAAAGCAGGTGACGAAGAATTGCACGCCACCGATTAAACTGGGCTTTGTAGGGTACAAAAGGCGACTACACCCTGGTCCACGGTTAGAGAAAGGGGGCGTGGCGGGGAAGAGGAGCAACTGGATGGGGCAAGAGAAGATTGCTGGCAGCTGATTGCACTGCCCAGGTTGGTGGATGGAATTACCAGAACTGGGTGGGCAAGTTTACAGAGCCGGGAGTCAGGAAGTGTTGGCAAATTAGTCACCTAGAAGGGACAGGGGCAGGGAACGTGATGGAACGCAAGGGGACAAGCGAAGAGGGAAGGGGAAAGGGGCTTCCGAGTGACAGTCAACCAAACCTCGGACCCCGAGGCCCCAGGCAGCGCTGGTGACCTGGGGTCCCGCGGGGGTGGGGAATGGGGACAGAGGAAGGAGCACGAGCATCTCCAGCAGCCAGGTGGTGGCCCGAGAGGGGCGGCGCCGCCCACGGCCGCAGACGCGCGGCGCTCCCGGGAGGAGATCCCCGAATCCTCCCTCGGGGGTGCAGGCGAAGGCCAGCAGCGGGGAGGCTGGCGGGGAAGGCAGAAAGGACTCCGGGGTCCCGGGGGGGACGGACACCGCACTCACCTGGTTGGTGACCTGAAACGAGACAGAAGAGGGTTTAGAGACGCGCGCATGCGAACCGGCGCCGGCCTCCCGACTCGCTCGGGCCCCGGCTGCGGCCCCGGGCCGCGCTCACCTCGGGGTTGGCCTCCAGCGGCAGCCAGCGCTGACCCTCCATGACTGCTCCGCCGGCCGCTCTCCAGCTCTGACAGCGGCCGCCGCCGCCGCCGCCGCCTCTTCCGCCCCCGCGCGCTTCGGACGGAACCATCCGGGCGCCACCCCGCGGGGGGAGGTCGGCAAAAGCAGTTGCGCCACCCCGGACTCTTAGCCTCTTCCTACGGAGGAGCCATTCAAATATTAGAGTCTTAGTTAATTCATAAGATAAACCTGTGTAACATGAACTATTTCCTACTACATGGGAAAAACCAAGCCAGGGTCTACAGTGGGCTCCCCTCCCACTTGGACTCTCCCTGCCCCAGCAGCACCCGAGTTTTACGCATGCGCTACATGCTCATGCTGGCCTGGGCCGCGTGTTTGCAGGCGCTCTCACCTTCTTGCAATGCCAACCAGAACTCTAGAGGGCGCGTCACGGATTCCCACTCTGCGGGAGGCACGGGTTTGCTAGCCTTCAGAAGGCAGCCAAGCCAGAGGTTGACTCCTTGCATTTATGGTCCTCTTGTTTCTTTGTGAGGATACTGAAGTGATATGTTGCCCTTATCCGCTTTGCACTGCTGGAGATACAGATAATAGGCAGGTGATCGATATAGGTGATAAGTAGATACTCAGTTTTGCTTGAGAAAAATGCGGAGCCACTACGAAAGATGAGCCAGATAATGTACTAAGAATAGATACAAACGGAAGGGCTTTAAGCGGCATTTTGAATGTCCCTTCTCTATCACACTAAATTCTAGGATGCCAGATGTAATAATATTTTCATTTTCTTCACATTTTTAGGATTTGCCTCAACGCACAGTGGATTCTCAAAGACTGTTTGAGGAATGGTGCCGGAGAGGTAGCAGAATGGTAGAGCACCTGTCTAGCGTGCATGAAGCCCTAGATTCCATCTCAGTATCACAAAGGGGAAGGGAATAGCACGATCATGTATGCAGAGATACCACTTATCAACTCTGTAGGAAATGCAAAAGAGAAATTAAGGTAGCATAGAGGCAGATGCAGATTGCAAAGGTCTATTACAAGGAGCAATCCTTTTTGATATGTAGGATCAAAATTCATGACTCCAGAATTTTGACCTGACATATTACTATTCTGTATCCAAAAGAAGGAATTCGGGAGAGATTAGTTAAGAAGTGGGGGGAATGTTATTATACTGAGATTCTTGGGGAATATCCAACTCTCCCACACATGTTCTGGCTATTATTTTTATACCTGGATGGCTTTTCCATTCCCTTGACTATTTCCTATCTATTTGACGATCGGCTGCCTAGTGTCTGCCTAACATCGTGACTTGGTAAGACTGGCAATGTCTGGCTTATGATGGGCAGTTTAAGTTTTCTCATCTCTTGTGGTGCTTGCTATATTCTCAGTCTTTACTGGGGCTGATTGGCATGCCAGAGGAATTTCCGACAACTTGTTTTGCTCCAGACTCCTGAAGTTCTACACGGTGTCTCTCCTCTTACTGCTTGGCTAATGCTCCACACACATGCTTATCTACCTGCCATGAGAATTTCTTCCTAGGTAGACATGAACCATGTTTGCCTCCTTATGAGATCCCAATAGCAAACCAAATACAATCCCACCAAAGTTTACCTTGGGAAACCAATGAGATGGCTGGGCTTAGCTACAGAACATGGAGGAGGAATTATTGGCAAGGAGTATAGTGACTCCAAAGCATTCACACTGGAAAGTTGTCACCAAGCATGCATGATGGCAACAATATGTCTTTCACCTTAGAGAAGTTGTCCTAGCACCCCGTAGAACTTCAGACTCCCCCAAACACCTTACATACATATCATCTGTAATCTCTCAACTTCCAGCCATTAGGTTAACTTCCAGCGTTGGCATGGATGTACCTCCGGTTTTGAAGAGCCTTAATCCTCAGACTTGACCAAACATACGAATATCTGGATCTGAAGCACAGACTTTGATTCACTAAGTATAAGATGGGCCCCAAGATTTAATACTATTTCTCCTAGTGTTTGAAAGTCCCATTATCTACATCATTTACAGTATGGCTCTGCAATTATTTTTCTCCTAGGGAATAAAGTTCTGTCCACATGCCTTATTTATTGATTTTGGGTTTTGATTTTTTCCTCTTACAAAGACTTATTTGCAAATTCAACATTAGCACTTGCAGGTTAGACATGCACAGACCTCCCCCTCCCCCATATGGGTTCCCACTTGTGCATGGTGGGGCATGCCTGCAACCCCAGTACTTGAGACAAGATAGGAGAATCATGGTGAGGATTGTGACCTTCAGGCCAGCTGGGGCTCCTTAGTGAGTCCCAAGTTAGTTTTGGCTGTGTAGTGAGACACTGTCAGAGAGAGACAGAGACAGAGAGAGAGAGAAACAGAGAGACAGAGAGAGAGAGAGAGAGAGAGAGAGAGAGAGAGAGAGAGAGAGAGAAGGGAAGGGAAGGGAAGGGAAGGGAAGGGAAGGGAAGGGAAGGGAAGGGAAGGGAAGGGAAGAAAAGACAGGGAGTGAGGAAGAGAGGCTCATTCTCCTGGTAACCTATATTATCCTAAAACCTACTCAACATACTTTTTCCACCACCAACAACATTGTCTTATGCCAAGTCACAACATAATCTTTTAAAAGACACTTTAAGTAGCAATTAAACATAATATCTACAGAGTCTGTGATTCCCATAACTCAAGAGTAATGTTGAAGATCTGTGAGCGAGTTCATGCTTGCTTCTGCAAAAACAACTGACTCACAATGCCACCTAGGTAGCCTTCAGCAGAACTTACCTTATGAGCAGGAACAATTCCTTTGAGATTTAAAATGTAGAATTAAAAACTTTTAAGAACTGATAAATACACCTGGGTGCAGTGTTTTGCACCTGTAAGCCAGCAACTTAGAGGCTAAAGCAAGAGAATTGTAAGTTTGAAACCAGCAACATGCAATATTCATTCTGTCTTGGGAAGAAAAAGAAAAGGAAAGAATGAAATTCGTTACTTTTTCAACACCTGATATAAGTTTAACACAACGGTTGTCATCAGCCCATATTCAGTCTCACTCAGTTGTCCCAAGGGGATCAACATCTCCATTCACGACATACCACCTTGGCTATTCATTGTCTAATATTACTTTTATTATTAAGAAATGGTCTCAGTTGTCATTTTGATGCACCTGTGGTACTGTCATCTGACTTAATCCTGGGCTGTGCTGTCAAACCCTCTATTTAAACACAGTCTTGCAAGTAAAAGCATGCTGGTATTACACAATCCGACAACACCTGTGAAGTATTAATGTGAAGTAATAATTCTCAGCACCTGATCAGAGATCATGACTACGTGGGTCTCCATGAGCCAGGCAGTTTACCTCTTTATATCACACTTTTAAAAGCGGCTCTAGCTAGGAAATCAGGAAGACAGCTAAGCGCATGCAGTGTTGCTGTGCAAACGTGAGGGTCAAACACTCAGTGCTCAAGTTAAAAACACAAAAACAAAACGAAACGGTGTGAGCCTAATGTGGTGGGCCACTTCTTTAATTCCAGCACGTAAGATGAAGAGGTCAGCCTGGTCTATATAGCCAATTCCAGGCTAGCCTGGGCTACATAGTGAGACCTTGACTCCAAATGAAAGAAAACAGAAAAAATGGGGTATGATGGTGTGCACTTGTAATCCTGGACATAGGACAACCCTTGGGGCTTGCTGGCAAGCTAATCTCACTAAATCAGCAAGCCTCATGCTCAGTTAGAGACCTATCTCAAAAAAAATCATTGGTGTGAGATAGAGAAAGATGCCCAACATTGGACCATTGGGCCCCCCCCCTCTCTGTCATATGCAAGCACATCTCAAACACAAAACAAAGCAACAAACTAAGTTCCCTTTAGCCAAAGGTTGAAGCCGGTGATGCTAGTTTTAATTGTCAATATGACAAACATTTAGAATCACCTGGGAGGCAGACCTCTAGACTCTGTGGGAGATTATCTTAATGACCTTAATTAAGGCAGGAAGACTCACCCCCTATGGGGGCCATCTTTCCCTAGATACTGTCTTCTGGACTAACACAGGTACATGAACTTACTCTCTGCTGCTTGGCTGTGGATGCAATGTGACCAGCTGTGTTGGTCTCTGGACCAACTCTGCACAGTGATGTGCTGCACCCTGGAATAGTGAGCTAAAGTAAACCCCTTCTCCCTAGGCTGCTTTTGGCTGAGTAGTTACCACAGCAACAGAGGTGAAACGATGACAATCAGATGTGAATGGTTGAGCTGTCCCGGTGAAATTTCTGTGTTTATAATACAGTTCATTTTGTTTTCGTTATGGCTGTTTTAATATGTGGGTTGGTCAGATTTGGCTCAAAAGCTAGGGATTTTAAGCCTTTCTTTAAGCTGTAAAAACCCTTCTGCTGCTAGGAATACTAACCGTGTCTAGCCAAAGGTGTCCATCTTTGTTTATGTTACCCACTGATTACACAATGCATACTCATATTCCTGCATAGCCTGGAGCATAACATTCAATCCCCCAGGAAACACTGGAGGATTCCACTAGGCACTCTGGGAGTTTGGAATCTCTTTGGAGGCCTATGAGATTAGCGTGTCAACGGTAAAATAAGCCACACTACTGGGAGATTTACTTGGGAGCCAACTGTTTAACGCACATGGACTTCAGTTTTCCTTGTGTTTCAAGTAAAGAGGATGTATGTTTTAGATATCTGACAGATTTTGGGACTTTGAGTTTCATGGTGATGATAAGAAGTTCTAGTATCTTCTTGGTGGTGCTAATGCATGCCTTTAATCCCAGTGCTCAGGAGTCAGAGGCAGGCCGACCTCTGTGAACTTGAGGCCAGCCTGGTCTATGAAGATAGTTCCAGGATAGCTGGAACTGTTACACAGAGAAACCCTGTCTCAAAATACTAAACAAAACCAAACATAAAGTATTTATTCAGTACTGTGGCATGGAGGAACTTTGCTATGTGCTTACATATGTGATCTCATTTTCACACATGAATAGAAACATTGTGAGGAACATTAATAGCTCCCTCTTTACAGACACAAAATCTTTACACTCAGAAAAATCTAACAAGTCATCATGTCAATAATACATCACACTCTATTGGTTTCCTACTGCTATGGTAACCAATGTTTGTAGCTTTTTTTAAAAATTGTGTTTGTGTACAATCCTGTGCATGTGTTGTAGAGGTCAGAGATCAACTGGACGTGACCATCAGATATCTTCCTCAGTTGTTATCCCTATCTTTGAAACAGCATCTCACCCATGAGCCCAGCCCTCAGGGATCTGAGTAGACTGGCTCACAGGGCAGTATGTCCCTGGACCCTCTTGTCTCTGGCTCCCAGAGCTGGGATTACAGCTGTGTTGCAAGGTGCCTGTCTATTTTACATAGGTGTGGGGATCCAAACTCAGGTCAAGTGCATTTTTTTTTGGATTTTCAAGACAGGGATTCTCTGTGGCTTTGGAGGCTGGCTGTCCTGGATTCTGGAAGCTGTCAGCATTCTTTGCCTCTTAGCCCTTCTTCTGTGTACCAAGCCAGCATTAGGTGAGTCTTTCTCACATTGTTTTACTCTGACACATTGCCTGTGACTATAGCTCATCACCTTCGTCTTCCCCAATGAAAGACACTTGTCATCACATTGTCCTCACCTGAGTATCATCTGGTTAGCAGCTGATGTGCAGTTTAATTCCCATGTGTGACATAAGGTAATTTATTCACAGATTGTGGACTGGGTAGTAGACATCTTGGAGGATTTTGACCGAATACACACTGATAGTTCAGGATAGTACAATATGTTTCAGGAAATATGTTTAGTGGACCTCTAGTGTCTTTGTTTCTCTAGCATCTTTTAGTCTAAGTTGGGTTGAGTCATCCTTATCTCTCCTGTTGGTAATATCTTTCATCTCTGGTACACTAGTGACTGTACCAATCACATAAATATTCCCTTTATAGGCCATGGAGCAGACAAAAAGTAATGAAACTTCAGCTAGCACTAGTCCAAGGAGTGGGTCTGTGACTCAGTAGGTTAATCAGTCTTTCTTTCAGAATTGAAATTCAGGACCAGCTTCCCCTTTCCCTTTGGGCTTCCTCTTTATTAGTCATGTGACTGTGACTCCAAAGACACTGGTCACCCATGCCTGTATATGCATCCTCCTCCCCCCAAAACAAACAGGGAAGACAAAGAAAATTGAGCCTAGGAACAAACAGGAGGCCAATCCAGGGCTGAACCAAGAGACTGGGCTCTTTTGCTACGCAAGTCTCACAGTTCTCTTAGCTCTCAGTGTGTTCCACACTTATGCTTCAGAGGCCACAGCTGTGAGATAATAGTTTCTACTGTCTTGCCTAGGCAAGTTTGATTCAGATTTGTATCACTGGGCATTTGAAAAAAACTAAAACTAAAACTAAATGCTTAAATAGAAAGACATGTCTTTTTGCTTTCTCCATTCCATGGTGACCTTCTTTACATCAAGAGTACATGGTATGTGGCATTGTGGACTTCCTTTTCTTCTGAGGCTGAGGAGGTTTGCTGAAAATGCTTCCAAAGTAGTTTCTGGGTTACATATCCTACTTAGATGTTGTTGGGTTAAAGTGAATTCTTAAAAGTTATAATAAATGTGTGTATAATTTTGGCAATTTTTACATTTTTGTAAAATCTTGTATTTTTACATTTTTAATTTATAATTGTGGTGTGTGTATGTGTGCGCGCGCGTGCGTGCGTGCGTGCATGCGTGTGTGTGTGTGTGTGTGTGTGTGTGTGTGTGTAATAGTGATGTGAGGGTGTGCTTTCTGAGGTCAGAAGACAACTTGTGACAGTCAGTTCTCTTTTTCTTCTATGTGGGTGCCAAAGATCAAACTCAAGTTGACAGGCTCAGTGGCAAGCTCTTTTACCAACTGAGTCATGCCACAGGTCCCAGATTTGTATTTTATAAGTGGGAGTCTTATGTAAATTCTATTATCTTGTAAGACGTAAGCCTGAGAAATAGCAATTTGCCATGTGTTTATTATAACTTATAAAAGAAAGTGGATTTGTAGAAAGGAGGCCTTCAGAAGTACTGTGTCAGGAGATTTAAAGGTTCATCATAGCCAGCTCTGATGGGGTCCTGAAGTGAGAGACCATTATCATGGATGTCATATCGTGGCCACGATGGGGTCCTGAAGGAAGAGCCCTCATTTCCAGTAGGACAAAGAGAATGTCTGAGTCTTACAGGTTTTCAGAAGCAGAGTTGGGTAGGGAGGGGGCAGAGGGAGTATAAACTGCATGCCATGTGACCAAGCCTGGCTTCGCCTTTGTACCAGGAGTCACAAGGCAGTAAGGCAACAGATAAAGTAAACTTGTAATTCAAGGTTGTGTTAAGTTTGTGCGCAGCTACAAGGGAAAGGAGAGAACTTCAAGGACAAACAGGATAATTTTTTATCAGGTCTAGGTGCCAGCAGAGAGCCTGTAGGGACATGTGGCCTGATTTCTCAAAGAGAATGAGAGAGCAAGGTAGAGGAGGGTCTGGGATCTAACAGCATTTCTGGAACTCTCTCTCTCTCTCTCTCTCTCTCTCTCTCTCTCTCTCTCAGACACACACACACACACACACACACACACACACACACACACACACGCTCATCTTAAAAGGAATAACAGATAGTTTATTCTGGAGCTATTTTGAGCGATCATATCCAGGAACACAGACTTAACCCAAATTCCACGTTCCAACATGGAAATAGTTTCATGATGTTTTTATAGTGTTGCAGAACAAAGAAAGCCATAAATCAAAGCAAGTTTAAAATACATTGATGGGCTGGGCAGCAGTGACACATGGCTTTAATCTCAGTGCAGAGGTAGGGGATCTCTGTCAGTTCTAGACTAGCCTGGTCTACAGAGCAAGTTTCGGGACAGCCAGGCCTACACAGAGAGACCCTGTCTTGAAAAGAACCAAATAAACAATAAATAAATATAAATACACTGATGGGAAGGCACATCAGAGAAGCAGGTACATAAAGATGGGAGAAGATTATCTATAGCCTAAAATGCTATCTGATGACAGTTCTTAGATTTTGGATTGGTGGAAGCTAGTAGTCTGCTAAGTTAATGGATTCATAAAGGTTTCTGTCTATTAAGTCACAAGTTGTTAGTTCTCACACAGAAAGGGGGCAAGAATGGCTATTTTGGAAGCCTAGAACAAGCCGAAGATTAGGTAATTAGCCTTTGGACCTGCAACACGCTAATCTCTGAAGTGGGAATCCTTAAGACTGTTTTACCTTTTTTTTTTAACTCAAATCCTCACATCCGTGCACAGTGATTACAAGACAGAAGGAGTTCAGGTTGCGTCGCCAGCTGTTTCAACATCCCACTGGGGAGCCAGCTCTCAGCTGCTGCCCCTGTAACTTCTTTCCCAAGGGGCCAAAGGGAACACCAAGCCCTAGCTCTGCCAGTCCCCAAAGACAGCTAGCCACCCTTGTCCTCGGTTCTTATCTAGTCAGGTACCCAGAGACGACCATACTCTCAGCACGTAGTCGCCCGATACCATTGGCTTAGGGGGCCTAATTCCCACGACAAATCTCTCCTCTGAAATTCTAATCAGCCAATCAGTTTCTTTTCAAGACTCTCATTCACAGAAATAGGAAGCCACGTTGAAAAACAATCATCAAAGTTCATAGGCTTGGTGTGGTGGTGTATGAGGCAGCAGCCTAGTCTACAGAGTGAGTTCCAGGACAGTCAGGCCTACAAAGTGAGTCCCTGCCTCAAAAAAACAAAAACACAAACAAACAAAAAACCGATAAAATTAAAAGAATTCATGCAAAACATAGTAAACTAACAGAAGTTAACCTCAACGTGTTTGTCTTTTTCTCCTTTGGGAAACATTTTCTATAAAATTCAGGTTGGTGTATATACATATGTGTGTCCTCTCTGTTCCCAGCAGCCAGGAGCTGAAGAGAAAAAGAAAATTAGCAGGGTGTGTGCACACCTTTAATTCCAGCACCCAAGAGGCAGAGGCAGGCAGATCTCTGTGAGTTAAAGACCAGATTGGTGTACATAGTGAGTCCCAGGCCCGCCAGGATTACATAGTGAGATAATCTGAACTAATGTATTGATCAGCCGGATACACAACAGTGTTCTATCTTTTCATTGCTTTGGGGCATTGCTTTGTTTCACCCAGGGACTCTCTTCCCAAGCTAATTAGTGCATTTAAGTAGAACCAATAATTCTGTTCAGAGACTTTTTTAAAATTTAGGTTTTAACTGCAGCATGCAGAATGAGAAGGAGCTGCTGGAATCGGATTGGGATATGGAGTAATAAAGACAGACAGCAGAGATATATTTATTTATTTATTTATTTTTAAAAGGCATTCCGCTCTACCCTCCTAACGTCGGGCTAGGCCAATGAACTCAATCCTGGACAACCACAGTTAGGGTCACAGGACACGATCCACGCTAGGGGGTGTGGCCCGCCTCTGCGAGCAGCTTCTCTGGGCTCGCGCCCTCCCTGGCACAGCCACTCTGCGCTTGCGCGGGGAGGAGCCCACTCCAGGTCCCTACAGTGGGGGAGGCGAGCGTCCTGAAGGTCATTAGTCCTCCGCTCGGTTCCCTCCGCGTCCTTGGCCTTTCTCCCCACCGAACTTTCCAGAATCCCAGTATATCCCCAAACTGATGTTCAGTCGAGACAAATCCAGAACTGCATGAAAAATGTATTTTCCTCTCTGCACCTCCAGCGAGTGGGCTGGGAGGCGCGGGCCGGAAGCGGAAGTGCCGGTCCCGTGCCGGCGACTTCCTGTCTGGCCATGGCGGAGTCTCCGCCGCTCAGGGAACCGGTGCTGGACGCCAAATCCGAGGTTCGTTTGGCCTGGGAGGAGAAGGGCTGGGGCGGACGGGGGTTCCGGGAGGACTTTTCTCTAAATGGTGCTTCCGCTTCTGTTCCAGGTCACCTGCCAGGTGAGTGGCCGCCCCAAGCTGTGGCGTGCGGTCCCCGCCCCTCTCGGTGGGTCCTTCCCCGGGGATGCGCTTCCCCCGGACCCGACGGGGATGGACCCGAGGGGGATGGCCGCTGCCGGAGTGCTTTAGGCTGCCCTGCCCTGCCCTGCCCAGAGAGCGCAGACCAAGGCTTGTTCCGGCTTAGTTAGCCTTTATTCCAAGGTAGGACTGTGGAGTTTTACAACGCGAGGGTTACGTGAGCCGTTACTAATGTTGGCAGAGGTAGCTCCCTTCCTTGTCTTTTTAACTTTAAGTGGTTTTGTTTTTGTTTTGAGGCAGGGCCTTGCTGAGTAAGTAGCCCAGGCTAGGAAGATCTTCTAGCAAGATCAGACTGGCCTTGACTTCTCAGATCTCCCTACCTCTGCCTCTGAAGTGCTGGGATTAAAGGCGTTACAGCCTAGCCATTTCTTTAAAAAAGCTATTTCGAAGATGAGCCGTAGTTTTCCTAACCTTTTGTATTTTACATTAGGAAAAAAACATTGGGCTTTCTAAACTAATAATAACACTTCAACAAGAAAACTAGGAAACTGGAGTTTTAGAGCAGGAGTTACCTAGGTTCACGTAAAATATAAGAAAAGTTGAAGTGGAATATGTAAGAGTGAAGGGGTCTAGAAAAGTATTTGCTATTGCTTGTCTTCAAAGGATTTTTGTTTTGCTTTGTAAGCCTGAGGCAGGCTCTCACTGAACTGTTGAGGCTGGCCTTAAACTCCGCCTGAACCCCACAGACCTGTGATTCTCTATCCAGCATCCCAAGCAGCTAGTTTTACATGCCTGGCACTTTCAGGCTTGCCTTGATGTTGCTTTTGAAGACTCCTGGGAGAGGACTGAACTCTGTGATACCAATAAGCCTCCCTGTCTTTGCATAACATTATATGAGTTAGTGGCACTTCATTTCCGTTTTAAGATTTACAACACATGGGTCACCGGAGGCCACAAGAGGCCTTGGATTCTCTGGAATTGGAGTAGTAGATGGTTGTGAGCCACCGGGTAGTTGCTGGAAACCAAACCTGGGTCCTATGCAAGAGCAGCAAATGTTTTTAACCGCAGAGCCATCTCTTCAACCAGAGTTAACCGAGTTGATGATATTGTTATTATTAATTATTCAGTCTCATGAATTGTTTTAGTTGTTCACTTTGTATTATGTGTTCTATTAAAGATGCCCTAAGACTGACTTGTACTGGGCTATAGATTTTCATTTATTAATTTTACAGAAATTTTCTACTCTAAAGCAACACAAATGTATCCCTTTCACTTCTGGAAGTCAGAAATGGGGCCATGGTACAGGAAGGTTTGGGTATGGCTGGAGCAAAGCGTCTCTCGCGTGTCTTTCTCTGTTCTTAGCTGTCTCCTTTCTTGGCTTGTGGCCTGTGCATGATCCCAACCCCTGCTTCCTCTCCTGACTATGACCCTCTTGCCTTCCCTCTACAAAGATTGATTATATTAGGATCACATCCAGAGAAACGGCAGCCCAAGATCTTAATTTTGTTACATCTCTAATACCTGCTTTCACACATGGAGACAGCCTCTGTGATTAGGACACGGGTGTATCTGAGTGACCAGTGTGTTATAATCCCCCCCACACGGTGACTTACTGGTGATTGGCCATATGATTACATACATAAGGAGAGCCAAGATAATTTACAAGACTATTAGAATTAATAATGACTTTGGGAATATGACTCAGTTTTTTTTTTTGCATGGTTTAGACACAAAAAGCAAGTTTCACAACTTGAAAAAAATTATACAATATATTGCAAATAAATCTACCAACCTAGGTATGTGCGCCTTATAATAATTTTAGCACCTGGGTGGCTGAAGCAGGAACGTCACCACAATTGTGAAGCCATCCTGGGCTTTGCAGAAAAATCTTGTCACCAAAACCAAACAAACAAGCAAAATAGCAGAAAGAAAAATAAACACTTCTAGTGAGCGGTTTCACACCTTCATGAGGAAAATTACAAGACCATCGGGGTGGCTCACTGGATAGAGTAAAGGTGCTTGCTCCCAACCTTAAGACTCAATAAAATCCCTGGAACACGTGTGAAGCAGAAAACAAACTTAATTCAAGTCCCTCGACCTCCACATGCCTGAGTAAATGCAAATACATTTTTTTTAATTGTGAGGAGCAATGGGTCCAGCATGTTAGGACCTTGGAAGTTATTACTTGGTCCTGATAATGAAAAACTGGAAAGTCAGCAACTCTTGTGTCTGTCAGAGAAGTAGATCACTGCAAAAGAAAATGGGCCCATTGGCAAGTATATGTTGATTGCCTGGCACCCTCTCTTGTTTGGAAGTAAGACAGACAGATTGTTACCCTCAGTATCAAGAGCAGTGCTTATCCAGCTCTGTGTGACGTCACGGCAACACCGATGACCAGAACTAGATTAACACCGCAGCAGTTGGGAAGCTTTTAATCTTTACAGTCAAACAGACACCCGTTTCTGTTCTTGTTTCTGAGACGTGTGACCTTGAGTTACCTAAGCTTTCTGCAAAATGGAAATAATAATAACCTATAAAACTGATGATTCAGAGAGGCACTGAACAGGTACATACACTGCATAGCATGCCACCTGGTCACCTGGCATGTGCCCGTCACGGGGACTGATGGAATCTAAAGCCTCATCATCCCTCATTGTAATAGTAGGTCTGAGCTTGACAATGTAGTGTGGAAACAACTGGGATGGTTTCCATGGGTGCCTTGGGCAACTGTGAGGACCATGTCACCCATCTGTTTTAGACTTGTGGCCTATGGAACAGGAAGAAAGGTTAATGCTCCAAAACATTTGGGGTGCCCTGAAGTAGAGAATGAGTCAAGCCTGCTTCAAAAGGCACTTTTCACATCTTTTACTGTGTTCCGCATCTGGTAGACATTGGGTTCCTGTGCTTGACATTTTGCTTTTCTCCACTTGTTTTCTGGTCCTGCTTATGCCCTTTGTTTCCTCCATTGCCGTTGGACCACGTTGTGCCTACCAACATAAATGAACCGATTTCCTGTGCTAGGACCAGTACCGAAACAAATACAAGACGGAAGACAGAAATTGGGCTTTTGTTTAAGGCAGTGGTGTTGCTCATGGGATATTTGTGCTATTTCGTTAAAGCTTATAGATTTCCAGTGGAAACTGGGCATGGCTGTGAGCTCTGACCAATGCAGATCGCTCAAGTATCCGTATGTGGCGGTGATACTAAAAGTGGCAGACCATTCTGGCCAAGTAAACAGCAAGTCCATCGAAATGACCATTCCACAGTTTCAGGTTTGTAGTTTAACTCGCTGAATTTAAGTGTCAGTGCTGTTGCAAAAGCTGCATACAAGCTTTCTTAAGAGAAAATGTTCATTTATTTACTTGCAAGTTAATGTACTTTGGATCATACTAAAAAAAAATCAAATTATTTTCTCTGGGGGTTTGTAAGTTTTCTCCAGTAAGATGTACTGACTTGAGTGTAGTATCCTTTAATTACTGTAAAGTTTTCGATGAATATATTTAGAAATATTTCATCTTTTCTACAGGGTATTTAATCTCTTACTATTTTCTTTAGGTTTAATAATAATTTTAAGTATAAGTAATCTTTTCTGTGGATAACATTGACATTGGGTTTGTAGACTGTTTACAAAATGCAGTTCTGAACTAATACATATTGATGGGTCTTACTAGCTAGAGATTTAAGTAACTCAGTAGTTTATGCTTCAATTTAGGCACTCATATTGACATTATTACTTACCTTCTATCCAAGGAAGAAAACAGAAGTGTCTTAGGGTTTTCATTGCTGTGAAGACAGAAACTCTTATAAACAAAACGGGTGCCTTGCTTACAGTTTCAGAGGTTCAGTCCATTGTCATCATGATAGGGAGCATGGTGGTGTGCAGACAGATATGATGGTGGCTACATCTTAGCTTGCAGGCGACAGGAAGTTGACTGGCATACTGAGGGAAGCTTGAGCAAAAGAGACCTCAAAGCCCGTCCCTACAGTGACACACTTCCTCCTTCAAGGTCACACTTCCAAATAGTTCCTCTCCCTATGAGAGCCATTTTCTCTAAAACCACCACTAGGAGTGAACGCTAAGCCCAGTTTCCTTTTGAATGTATATTATGAGAGATGTCTGTCCTTAGCTGATAACTGGCACGTTCAGTTTTGGTTTGGTTGCTGCAAGCCATTCAGTAGCTGAAGCAGTTCTCAGAGGAAAGTTCCAGAAAGGCAACCATAGAGAATAAAATGAAAATAAAAGTTAATTTTTTTTTTGAAAAAGATTAAAACTACATTGGTTCTTGACTTCCTTTATTGTTATTTGTTTCATTTGGAGTGTATGGGTGTTTTGTCTGCTTGCGTGTCTGTGCAAAATAAATATATTCCACTGAGGCCAGAAGAGGGCATCAGATCCCATGGAACTGGAGTTTCAGACAGTTGTAAAAGGCCACATGAATTCTGGAAATCAAACCCAGGTTCTCTGGAAGAGCAGGTAATGCTTATAACTGTGAGCCTTCTCTTCAGCCCTACACTTTTTTTATTTGTGTATGATGTGGAGATCATACCTCCGGCCTTCCTCATGTGAAGTAGGTGCTCTATATCTAAGCCAAGCCCTTTTCTCCCCATCGTGGGCTCCTGGGAAAGTCATATACCACTGTGTGACGCTTGAGTTCCTCTTTATAAGCTGTATTTTGGGGGGCTCTTGATAGACAAGACGACACGCATGTGTTCTTATTAATGTTGGTAAGTGTTTGAAGGAGTGGGGAAAGGAAGTATAGTGCATAGTCATTCACTGAACGTGAAAACCAGCTCCGCCCACGCCTTTCAGTCATTCACGCGTGCAGGCCCGCCCTTCTTCCGTGCAGTGCACTTCTACAGGTTTTTTTCTTCAGGAGTAAGTAAGTAAATTAGTAAACGGATCACCTTTTTCTGAAGCATTGTTGAGGTATAACTGATAAATAAAAGTTACATGTTTTCAGTGTGTACAGTGTGATTTGGTAAAAATACATGTTGTGCAGTGACTGTCTGTGGAGGTGATTATTGCCTGCATCACCCACAGTCTGTATAGATGCGTGCATACTGAGAACATTTGAAATCTCACAATCTCACAATGTGCCACTGTTAACTATACTCAGCATGCTATACATGAGATCCTCAGAACTTTGCTGGCTAAGTTAGTTCCCTTAGCCAACATGTTCACGTTTTCCCACATCCAGCACCTGACAAGCACCTTCCATTTCCGGTGTCTGTGAGGTCGACGCTCTTAATATAAGTGAGATCTTATGCTGTCTACCTTGGGGTGTCTGATTTGTCTTTACAGTGTCCTCTGGGTTCACTGTGATGGAAATGGCAGGATTTCTTTTATAGCGGAGTTACGCACTGTATGCAGTGGGACAAATGGTGACCACATATATGTAGATACTGCATGCAACTACCATGTATACATGTAAGGATTTTGAACATCTGCAGATTTTGCTGTGCACAGTCTGCCCTCTGAGGCTACTGAGACACCGGCAGAAGTTACGTACATGTGTAATGTTTCCTTCAGGGGACAGTTCTTCCTGTTTGTTTTCATAGGTGTGGTCTTGCTGGGGTTTATCTCAGATTTGCTGTATATTCTGTGTCCTCTTTTCTAGGAACGGTTGTTTCTCAGTGATCTTCACTGACGATGTCACTTTAAAATGCAGACAATATATGTGGTGCTTATATATAATGAAACAAACTGTGTAGATAAGATATAAAGGCAAATTAATATTTTCCCCTTTTTCTCCAGAATTTCTACAGACAGTTCAAGGAAATTGCTGCTGTAATTGAAACTGTATGAGAACGGATTTGTGATTCTAAAGTAATGGACTCTATCATCCAGAAAAGAACTACATATGGATCAAAGGATATTTATGCAATGAAAATTGCGCTTCTGGGACTGGAGAGATTGCTCAGAGGTTAGGAGCACTGGTTGCTCTTCCAGAGGACCCAGGTTCAGGTTCAGTTCCCGGTACCTACATGGCAGCTCACAACTGTCTGTAACTCCAGTACCAAGGGATTCTACACCCTCCCTCAGATGCCTATGCAGGCAACGCACCAAGGGGTACAAAATAAAAAATTAACTAAAAATAATTGCACTTCCCATTTTTTCCCAATTTTTAAAAAATCTGATAAACTCAAATTATTTTTGTGGTGACCAATGCTTTGCCTTGTCAATAAGCTAAAAGTGTGTATTGACTACTAATGTTTGTATGTGTAAATATGTCTTAACAGATGAGTAAATGATACTTAGATACAGCACAGTTTTGTATATTAGAAAATTTTCAAATCTTATTGATACAGATTTAACTATGAATAAAATCTTGCCTAGAACTTATATGAAGTTAGGAAGGTAATCACTGATGAAAACTACTTGACAAATTTAGTTTTATAGCATCCCCTTGAAATAGTTAAAGGAATTACTGAAAAGAATTGGTGAGAAAAGTGAGATTTCTTTCAGACGTTTGCAGTCAGGTTAAAGTAAACCAATCCTTCTATTACCTTAGCATTCCACTGTTTCTGCTGCTGTTCGTGGAAAATTCATCCCCAGTAATTTGCTGCGTGCAGCGTAAACCAGAGCACCCCCTGGTGGTGTGTTTGCACATTTCTGTCTTCTTCCATGCCCACTGTGTTGTGTGCTGAATGGGATGGTCCCCAGAGGCTCATATGTTTGAATCCTTGGTCCCCGGTTAGTGGAACTGTTTGGGAAGGATTAGGAGGTGTGTCTCTGAGGGTGGGCTTTGGGGGTTTCAGAAGTCTGTGATAGGTCCAGGACTGCCTACATACATGCAGATCAGAATAGGAACTTTGAACCCCTGTGTGCTTGTCTACTGCCATGTTTCTTGCCATGATGGTTTCGACTTAGCCTCTGAAACTAATCCAGCCCCCCCTTTTGTTTTTTTGTTGTTGTTGTTTTTGGTTTTTTTGTTGAAATAATTTCTCTGTTTAGACCTGCTGTCTTGGAACTCACTCTGTAGACCAGGCTGATCTTGAACTTAGATCTGTCTGCCCCTGCCTGTCAAGTACTGGGATTAAAGGTGTGCGCTGCCACTGCCTGGTTAGAATTGAGAACCTCTCTCAGCCTGGACACATGGGGGAGGGCCTAGGCCCTGCCCCAGATGAAGTGACAGACTCTGGAAATCCCCCTATGGAGGGCCTCACCCTCCCTGGGGAATGGTGTGGGGATTTGGGGGGGGTCCCATAGAAAGGCAAGTATGTGAAGCAAGTATGTTTCTAATTTAAATAAAAAATTATATTGAGAAAAAAAGAAAGCCCTCTATTAAGTGCTTTCTTTTGTAAAAGTTGTGTTGGGCATGGTGTCTCTTCAAAGTAATAGAACAGTAACTAAGACACTTACCAACCCAGTGTGGTGAGCTAATGGCTGCTTGCTTTACCATTTCTGATTCTCCACAAATACCGGACATTGGTGCAAAGTCAACCAGAACACTGATCCAGAAGAGGGAATCAGATCCCCTAGAACAGGAGTTATGGATGCATGTGAGCCACCATGTAGGTCTTGAGGTCAAGCCCAGATCCTCTGCAAAAGCAGCAAGTACCCTTAACTGCTGAGCCACCGCTGTAGCCCCTGACTCCCTGTTTGCAAAGCAGTTGCACTCATACTGTATAGAAATTTCAACCAGGAATATGCCCTTAGAAGTAAGAGAAGTTGGCCCATACATTACTTTCATCAGACCCATTGGGAGATTGTATTTCCCAGTCTTTTGCAGTTGAACTCCAGAGCCATATGACTGGGCTGAAGCCAGCAGGATCTGGCTAGAAATGTCCTATATATATCAAGACTTGGTTTTAAATCTCTCCTTAGCATTTTCCAAGCTCTCCTGATTTTGGTACTGAAATGATGAACTCAGAATGAATGGAAGGATGGACTCCAAATCACTGGAGGTACTTCCTTCGATTAATAATAGCCTGAGTTGGCTAAATAAAAGTCTCACTGTGTGAGAAAGAACAAATATTGCAGGACAAGTAATTTTCTTCCCTTACAGTGGAGATGCATTTAGAGGGTGATAAGCTTAACAGAGATTTTTGTTTTGTTTTTTGTTTTTCGAGATGGTTTCACTGTATTGTTTTGGAGGCTGTCCTAGAACTTGCTTTGTAAACCAGGCTGGCCTCAAACTCACAACCCTCTGCCTCCTGAGTGCTGTGATTAAAGGCGTGTGCCACCAACGCCTGGCTGAGACTAATGGTTTTCTAAAGGCCTCCTAGAGTTTCTAGTCAACTGAAGGGGAGAAAATGAGAAAACAGAAATTTTATAGTAAATACTCTCCAAACTACCTGTGGTAGCTATTCACAATATGCACCTCATGTATTTAAAATTCATTTTTTAAAAATCCAACATAGTTTGGAATGACCTACTTAATTTTCCTCTTTTGTTTAGTTACTCTAAAATTACATAAGTTGTGTGAGACATAGTAACAGAAAGCACACATCTGAAGGAATTAATGAACATAAAATCAGAACACTTGAAATTCTGCAAAAAGATGTGTTTGTCAAAGGATGCTGACCTAGGGCCTTGCTTTCTTACTTGCTCATCCTTGAAAATATTTCATGATCTAAGTAATAACACCCTCCAAGTGTCATACAAGCTTAGGAAAACATGTGAAAAGCATAAATGGCCCTTAAAAAGGATGGGGAATCAGTCTGCCCAAGGTGAAAAGTCCAGGCACACAGCTGTGGAATTGTGGGAGTGGTATGCATGTGTACAGCAATGACGTCATCCGACATGCATGCATGCTATAACAGGACCAGTATTCTTTGAAGCCAATCCAGTAAATTCAGCCAAGAGCCAAGTGGGACAAGAAGAGATGTCCCATCTCTTTAGATGTTTGGTAGACTTCAGAAACGCAGTTCCAAAATGGTAGGCATTTAGGCTTCTTGACAGCCAAACAGAAGGTTTTGTTTGCCTCTGGGGCCATCGCTTGTGTCCTTGAATTTGAAATCCACGACTTGAGAGGACTAGCTGTCTTTTAAGTCCTAAAGCCCATGACCCAATAACTTCAACTAGCACTTACAAAGTATTTTGTGTATCCCAGTAGAGTTGCTGACAACGCATCAGGTAGTGGCCAAGCCAAAAACCATCTGTAATGAGTCAGAGTCAGAAGAGCTACTGTTTGCCAGACGAATTTACACTCACCCTTAAGTGAGAGAGTAATCTTTTTCTTTTCCGCCTCAGAAGGTTTTAAAAGTGAGCACATAAATATTTAGAAGAATCAACTATAATCCTGTTAATTTTGTGTTTAAAGAATTATACATGTGAGGCAGCCCTTTGATGATGCTCCCGGAATCCAGTTGTGGAGAGGGAGGAGAGATGAGCAAATGGACCAAGATGGAACTAGAGATACCCGCAAAACAGTTGACCTGACCTAAAGAGAGCACTCAGACCGGGAACCAGCATTAGACCAAACCAAGCCCTCTGGATGTGGTACCAGCTAGGAGGCCAAGGCAGTCTATGGAATCTCTGACAGTGGAGCCAGGGTTTATTCCTAGGTCACAAATGGACTTCAGGAGCCCATTCCCTATGGAGGGATTCTATTGCAACCCAGATACGGAAATGATGTGATGGACGTTGATGATTCCCCGTGGAGGTTCTCACTATCCCCGGGGAGTGGGTGGGGAGTGGGTTAGGGGATCAGTGGGAGGATGGGAGGGCGAGGGAATGGGGGTATGGATATGTAAATAAGAGTGTTTCTAAAATAAATATTAAAAAGAATTATACATGGGTAGTTTTTGCTGTAATTTAATGATTTGTCTGACGGGGTTTAGCCTTCTTTGCCACATAATTGAGTAAGTGATCCATATTTGAGAATCTAACGTGAGACTGTGCTCAACTTCAATAAGGTTATGAAAAAATTAACCCTTGTGTGGGGGAAAAATAAAAGCAGAGCCAGTCACCAGGACTGTGACTCAGGACAGCAGCAACTCGGGAAAATTAAATCTCTACGTATGAGAAACTGGGCCAGTAATTAGAACGAAGGATTCTGAGATGAACGGTGGCTCTTAGGCATGCACTTTGGTGATGAGCCCCTTTGCGCCTGAGCCATCTGGCTGGCCCATCACCCTACTTTTGAAATCTGTGTAGAGGAGCTGGCTAAGTACATAAAAGATTTTTGTTGACTAATTTAGATCAAATGTACCACAAAACAAAGGTAGAAAATTTAATTTTTATCAGATATTAAGTGTTTGAAAGTCTCAAAATTTGGAAACAGGACTGGACATTATAATTAAGATGAATAAAAATAGGTTTATTATAAATTTTTAATATTTATCTTTACACACACGGGTGTTTGTAAAGAGAAGCGTTTTCCTTGAGAGAAGCCTTCCCGCCAGACTGGTTCTAGAGCCCCATCAGTCCCAAATAAACACACAGGAGGCTATATTAATTATGAAGCTGTTGGCCTTGCTTGTTTTTTACTGGCTAGTTCTGACTTAAGTAATTACCCCATACTTGTTAATCTAAATATGTCTCTTACCGGAGAAGTTTCCGGGCTTCCTACCCCATGGCGTTACATCTCGACTCTCTGTGTTTCTCCTTCCCAGACTCCTCCTGGACTCCTAGTCCCACCTATCTAGATTCCTATTGGTCCAATCGTGCTTTATTGACATAATCACAGGACTTCCCACATCAGGTGTTTGCCTGTGTGCATGTACTGTGTATGTGCCTGGTTCTCTGAAATGCCAGAAGAGGTTGTCAGATTGTCTGCAGCTGGAGTTTCAGAGGATTGTGAGCTGCCATGGCAGTCCTGGGAACTGAACCCGGGCCCTTTGGTAGAATGGCTAGTGTTCTTAGATGCCCAGCATTCCCCTGGTAATCAACCATCCTTGCATAGAATGGCTAATGTTCTTACATGCCCAGCCGTCTCTGGGGTTCTGATCTGCATTCTCCCAGTAATCAACCATGGCAAACATCTTTCTATATGCTTGTTGGTTGCTGTGTTTTCTTTAGAGAAATGTCTCAAATCAACTGCCCACTGTTAGTTGTTTGTTCTTTTGCTTTTGAGTTGATGGGTTTTCTTTTTTTTTTTTTTTGATATTTTGGATATTAACTGCTATCAAAATATACACCTTTTAACTATCTT